GGAAGACCGACAGGAGGGCGAGTAAAGGTAAAAAAGGTACCACTTAACCAAGTAAAAGAGTGAGGCTTCAAAAAAAAAATGCAAGTTTTGTTGTTTCCCCTTGTGTTTTCTTCGAAGTAACAGCTAGATAGCTTCGTCGATGGAGATGGGGCCGACCCCAAACACCACCAAGATTTTCATACAAGGGCACCACCTGCCAGTTATCTTGTATAATAACGCTCTTGGCTTGCAAGCCAAATGTCTCTTTTGAGGAGTCCCGAAAGGCAAATAACATTGACCTCTAGACAAACCACTTCATAGCCACGTCTCTGCAACAAAAATTTTGTTTTTTTATTTAGTCAGATTTTTGGTTTAAATGATCATCGGGAAGAGTTGATATTATTGATCTTAAATTTTTTGATTTTCATAAATTTAAACTATAAATAATAAATTATTTTCTATTAAATTATTTTTGCTTCAAGCTAAAAATCAGTAAATAATATACAAATTTAAATATTTAGCAATTTTTCAAAATAATATGTAATGTTGTAATTTAATTTAAAAAATATTAAAAATAAATGAACTAGTAAAATTAGAAGTGAAAGAAAACTAAGAATATGCCAGAAGAAGATATTGATAAGTAAAACTTTTTTGGTTTTGTTTTTTTTATATATGAATAGTACTGTATTTTTTTATATTTCTTTAATATAAAATTATTAATATACAAATTTAAAACTTTAGCAATTTTTCAAAATAATACGCAACTTTGTGATTTAATTTAATTTAATTAAAAAATATTAAAAATAAACAAACTAGTGAAATTAGATTCAGAAAATAATGTTGATAAAGAAAAAAAATATAAATGATTATAAGTAAAGGTTTTTATTTTGTTTTTTTTATATATGAATAATACTGTATTTTTTTATTTTTTTATATTTCTTAATATAAAATTATTAATATACAAATTAAAACTTTAGCAATTTTTCAAATTAATACACAATATTGTGATTTAATTTAATTTAATTTAAAAAAAATTAAAAATAAACAAACTAACTTGTCTTCAATTATTGCTAATTTTGTTACTTGTTCTTAAGAATTGTTTATCATGTCTGTTTAAAACTTGTTTATACAATTTATATACTTGTTCATAATAGGTTCAATAATGTAATCAACATTAGGCTGCTAAGCTTTAAAATTCTATCTGCTTTGCTATTGTTTTTTAAGTATTTGTAAAAATTGTACTACTATTAATAATTTTGGTTTATTAATATTCATAATATTTTTTTTGTTTTTTGAATTTAACAAAAAACTGATAAGAGCTATTAAATATTTACATAACAAAATAATGAATAAAAATAAATAAATTAAAATAATTAGTATAAATTGCTAATTCGCAATATACATTTTGAGGTTTGAAAACCATCTGATAGTTATTTTGTAGCACCAATAACTGGTCTAAAGTGCTTTTCATATCATTCCTCTTAAGAAAGAAATAAGAGAAGACGAAAACACATCAAATTTAATAGTGGCTTTTTGTTTGATTACTAGTGAATAGAAAAAAAATTAAAATTTTACAATACTGTTAAAAATTTTTTGGCAAAAGTGGGCTTTCTTGTCTGACTCTAAAAAGTAGATCATCTAGTACAACAAACAAACAAACAAAGAAGACACATTTACTTTTGGTAATATTAGCAACTAAACGGGTAGACAATACAAATAAACAAATAAACAAAGAAATACATGTGTAATGTAAAAGGCTTTAGATAGATAATTCTAGAAAGGTAGATATTCAATCAACATCCAATTTTCAAAAAAAATTAGTTATATTTAGAATTAGTTTATCGATACTAGTTAAGCACACAATGGAAATAGAAAATATTAAAAATTTGTACGCCAAATCACAGGAAGAAATAGATCAGGTACACGATGAGCAGAAATCCCTAACTCTAGTATATTGGTATAAATGACTCCAATTTCATAGCAATTATTCAGCGCACAATTGAGCTGTACAAATGGATACAACAAAAGAACACATGTCAGGAACCTTTAACTTATGAAGAGCAATTACTTATAGAAGAGAAAACAGAAGATCTAGAGTTTTCTAGTATGAAAATTGACACAAAAGAAGAGCAGTATTCAACAAATAAGAAAAGAATCTTGGAAAACCTTGATAGTATAAGTAATAAAAAGAAAACAAGCAACAGAATCAGAGTTGCAGAAATAAACTTAAGTAGAAGTGAAGTGGAGATATTAGCAGAAGATAATTCAGAAGAGGCAAAGGAAAAGGCAACCCTACTCTACGCGGAATGTGGATGTCTAGATTATGGAACAGAGGATACTAAAGAAATGATTAGCACTTTTAGTACAAAAGAAAAGTTTCTTAAAAATAAAGCAAAAGAAAGTATGGAGTTAATATTAGATGAATTCCTCAAAACAAACATATATATAAATAAAGAAAATAAAAGTAGAACAAATATAGATAGCAATATAATCAACACAAAAGCAGATTTACAAATTAGTTTAACATTATGGGACTTCCTGCAGACTCAAGATTCGCAAAGATTAGATGGTGCCTTAATCATTTTGGCAGAATTACCGCTACAGAATAGAAGAACTTCAATAAAACAAGAGCAGTTTACATTCATATTCAATGCAGAAATAAGAAAAAAAAGGAAAATTTACAAAGTTTATAGTCTCTATATTACGAGGAAGAAAAATTATAAAGACTAACACCAGGCAAATTTGACGCAGAACTCTTAAAAAAAAGGAAAGAACACAGAGCGATTCTTAGAGGAATTCCTCATACAGTTTTGGAAGCAGCTCTACTATGACAGTTAGGAAGAATAAAAGCAAAAATAGTTTTTATTCTGAAAAATAGCAATGGCAACCAAAGAAGTGTCACTTTTGTGCACTTCAAAGATAGTAAAGATCTAAACATAGCAACAGGAAATATAGCTTGGTATTATAATACCAGACTTGATTGGAGCGGTTCAAATCAGAGAAGCTCATCGAAGCTAATACAAAATCAAAGAAATACAAAGGAAGTTATAAGTACATAGAAAGCTTAGAGAAAGAAAATCTTAAACCTTATAAAAAGAAGAACTACAATAATTCACTTTCTGGGAGAATGCAAGGGAAGAGAAAGGAATTTGTAAAATTATAAGCAGAAAAACTAGTACTTCAAGATCTTGCAGTAATACTCGAAAGGTTCTAACACATTTAAAGTGATCAAAAGTCACTTAACCATGACAAAGTTCTTGAAAAAATTCTCAGAAAGCTACGAAATATTGAGGAAAAACAGGGAACTTATATTTCTTCCTGCTCATAATATTTGCCAAGAGCATTTCAAGAAATATAAGCAAGCCGCCATACTTGTATACACAAGAAACATCCACTGATATCAACGCTAAAATAGAAAATATTAGTCACACAACAAGCCTACAAGTATATAATGATTAATTTCTTAAAGTAGAATGCCACAACATTAATGGACTCAAAAGTAATAGGTTTAAAAGTATTATAATTTCAAAATAGGCGATGGAAAAAAATATGAACATTCTTGGTATTGCAGAAACAAATATTAATAATAAAGAAGAGGCTTTCTTAAATTTCAATAGAGATAATTTTGTTGGTTTTTGGTCAAATACAAAAAAAAAAAAGAGAAAAGGACCCAATATAGGATTGTTAGTTAATAAAAAGTGGGAAAGACACTTAAGTCAAGTTAAACGGGAATCACCATATTATCTAGAAGCAATGTTCCTTTTCAAACAATTAAAACTAATAATTATTATGATATATATACCGCCAAATAATAGAAAAGTCGCTAAGGTAATTCAGCAGAAAATTGTTAAAAAAGTGGCTCAAGGATCTTAAAGGAATCAATATGCTATCATGGGTGATTTTAACTTTGTTCCCGATCAAGCTCTTGATAGGAAATACTCAAGTTCACAGCATAAAAAACTTCCATTATATAAATAGATATATAAGCAAGAGTTTGTAGATTCATATTAAACAATTAACCCAGGTAGCAAGGAATACACCTGGTCAAGTCAGGATCAAAGATAAATGATAAACCAAATTTGGACCTCAAACATCAGCAAATTTAATAGGGCGTAATATTGTGCAATAATTTACGAAGCGTAAGAAAACCGTAATATTACGTAATAA